ACTAAAACATAGGTGGAGACCTTTTTTGCATAATACAGTTAAATAGTTGTGTTTCCTCCCATGGCAGTTTTGCTTTTGTCTTATTTTCAGGATTTCCTTCAACTGCACTCGTGAACTTAGGAAGCAGGAGCTGTGTAACATGTGTGTTCTAAGAAAGATGCTCTTGCCCATATTTCTGAAGCTCAGGAAGTGCATCAGGGGTCTGAGGATGTGGTTTTTTGCTTCCTGCCATGTCCACTTTGGACAGTTCCTTTTTTGTGTGCTGGAGGTTGATCTTAGGGCCTTGCTCATGTGCTCTACCATTGGGCTTCCTCTCCATGGTCCAGAAGCTCCTTCTCTCTTTTGCACGTTTGTTCATGTATGGTTCGGTTTAAGTACGGATTCCAGCCACTCCAGTCGGAGTTCACTGTTGCTCAGGGCTGAGGTTTCAGCTGGGGTCATGCATCGGTGCAGTCCCTGTCTGGGGAGACAGTGGAGAGGCTGATAAGGGGAGTAGCAGTAGACAAGGTTCTGTGTCATGGTCTCCTGCTCCAGCCACTGCCAGCGCAACGTCACCCATTCACCATTCTTCCCTGGTAAGGACAATATGTGTGCTGCCTACAGAAGCTCTGAAGGAAAAAATGCCATTTTGAGGTAGAAAATGAACAAATAGAGAGGGACTTTGAGGAGGAAATACTTTTTCTTTGGTTTTTCTCCTCAGTGTCTCTTCTCTCCCTGTGCAATATAATGCATGAGTATTATAAGAGGTGAGGGTTCAAGGTGGTGATGTGATTGATCATTTAATGAGAAAATCACCTGCAGAATTCAAATTAACACAGGCTTATTGCATGAGTAAGTACACAAATCTGTTTCAAAGAACTTATGAAAATATATGGGTGATATCTCAATGTTTGGTGCAAGTCTATAATTGACTAATGGTAAATAAGAAATCAGTTCTTAATAAAATGTTGTTATGGTTATAAAATCAGTGAAATTTCCACCTGGCCAGTTTCCTAAAATGTCCCCTTAAAGTCAGTCAAGTAGATGGCTCCAGAAATGAGCCCAGTGGAAGCAGTAACCAATTTTACTTTGTCACTAACCAAGCAGTGAAGATTATGACATGCGGTGTTTCTAGTTTTTCTCAAAGAACTGAATGAGTGCTGTAATACTAGCCCTTCCTTGGTGGTGCAGAATTCTTCTTTGATACGTTGGTCTCTATACAAACTTTTGCAAGATCCCTCAGCACTAACATTGGAGTTCTCCCCACATGACAGATTCACCTTCAGCCCTGGATAATGATATTAAATACCTGCAGGAGGAAGTGACAGAGCACAAAAGATAGCACACATGGCCCACTATTCATGGTGGTCACTGCCAAGGGAGAAGGTGTTCTCAAGGCCAAGATCCAGAGCTATTTGGGATAAACTCCAATCTCCTTGCTCTGCTATGATGCTTCAGTATTCTTGAACTTGTTGGGCCAGAGAAAGAGGAGCTAAGACCCAGCAGTTGGCAAAATTCCCAGGGGCACTTGAGGGCTACTTCTTGGAGACTTGGGTTTGGCATACTGCTGGATTCAGCACAGTGTCTCTGTCCACAATGAGCATTGCCTACTTGTTGGGCATAAGGCTTGGGTGGGTGGGGGAAAAGGTAGTGGTAGGAAATAAGCCCAAACCAGTAATAACCCCTTTCCTTCTAAACAAACTACTGTTGAGAGTGAATGGACTATAATTTCCAGAGGGCTTTTGGCCATCAGAACTACAATTAGGGAACAGAAAACTCAACCAATAAAAACACATCTAAACCACAGACAAAATCACCACTCTGTTATAATCTACCCTTCCCAAAAGGCACTATTCAGCCAGAAATGATTACTGCATGAGACCATTCTGGGCTTTTTGAGCTCTCCAAAGGTCTAGGAAGATCTCAAAGGACTGATGGGGAATAGGTGAGTACTGGCAAGGTTCTAGCAGTTGGGTTTGCCCAGGTTACTCCTAGACACACTGAGAGCTCCAAGTAATTAATGATAGTAGCCTTATTCATTCCCCAAAGTGTCCCAGTTTTGACCGTATATTATATGGTCATTTAAAAATAGCAACTGAAAATAACCTCCTGCCTCCAAACCTCTGGAAGTTGCTTCTCAAGTCTCCTCCTAGATGACTTTTCATTTGGACAAACTACAGCTGGCAGGACAAATCAGCTCAGTCCTGTTCCTGTATGGGCCATGAGTGAAGAATGGTCTTTATATTTTCAAGCAAAATGAAGAATGAAAAGACTCCATGTAGCCCACAAAACATAAAATATTTACTATCCAATTCTTGGAGAAAAAAATTGCCAACCCCTGTTCTGGCTCTTTGGTCTTGTAGCTTTGGGGGAGGAGGATCAAAATGTACGATCATTACTGCTGCCTTTGGTGCCAAAGGAAGGTGACAGCTCTGTACCCCTGCCCTACCTTTGTTAAATGCAAGACCCAGCACCAGGCTGATGCTAGGAGGTATACCAGTGCCTGGGGAATGGCATCAACTCAGGTGTGGCACTTGACAGAGAGACCCTGAGGACAGCAAGCACATTTGCTGAGACATTCCTTCTCCCTTGCTCCCTCCGAGGGATGGTGACCAGAAGAATGAGGAATGAGGTTTGGTTAAAGCTGTCCTGTGCTGCACTACAACAGGGGTTCTATTTTGAGGAAGGGAATTCTCAGAGGCCAAGTACTCTGCCCCTTTCCGGGAACCCTTGTAACTTGTAGGAAATGGTTTCCTCCTGTCACACCCTGAGCTCCAGGGAGTCCCCAGAGACCCACCCCATTTCCTTCTGACTTTATGCTTACATGATCCTTGAACATGCTGAGGAAGCCCTTGGAAGGATCTGCCTTTCCTTACATAGTGATGACCCTGTCCTCCTGCCCTAGGAACTTTGTTGCTGCAGCATTAAATGGCTGCTTTTCAGAATCGCCTTTTTGGTCTCTCAGATCTGGAGAATGGATGCTGGTTCACGAGAACAGTTCTTGGAAAAACAAAACAAGATCTGTGTTGTCCTTCTGATGGGCCCCATGACTAGCAGAAACTCTCTCAGGACTGTCATCTCTTTCTCCATGAAAGTGAGCTCTCTCTCTTTAATATTCCATTCAGCACAAACACTGGCAATTCTAATGAAGTCCAAGTGATTGGAATGTTGTTCTGTCCTGTGACTCTCAGAAAGAATGCACATAGTACTCATGGAACTTTTTGTAGGCGTTTATGTTTAGAAGACTTTTAAAGATGTTGGCCAATCTCAGAAATACTCAGGGTTCCTACCATAAAGGATCCTATCTTTTCATTCCTGCTCAACATACTCAGGTCCCTTCAGGAAGGCATTTGTCAGGGAACATGGAGCTACAGTAGTCAGTGGCAGAGGGAAGGGTAAAGCACAGACTTCCCAGTGTTCTGTGCCTTTCTGCAGCTTCCACACTCACCAGGGGACCCCTGAAAATAGAGCTGGGTGGAAACAGCACGAGCCCCTCCCGACATGGTCAGTGAGCAGCAAGTGTGCAGCTGAGTGGTACAGAGCCAATCATTTGCCATTCTGGAGACACTGATCTAGGAAAATAGTTTGCATTTTCTTTTGATTTCTTACTCTAGCCCTCTCAGAGATCAGGTGATGACGTTACAGTCATGTGATGAGTATGAAAACTGTACTGAATCTTAGACATTGATAGAAGCCAGTGACATTTTCCCCCTACCCATTTGTATGAAGTGGGCAAACATTGTGGTCAGTGTTTAAAAATTTTGAGAAAGTTGTGTATGGCACTCACTTCTGCACCTGCACACCGGCTGCTAAGTGTCGGTGCACTCTGCACATCCACTACAGTGTGACGTGACACTCACCTTCCCAGGGTGGCAGGGGCTGAGGAATGCAACATGCCTCCACCCCTTCTCTAAACTTTGAAATACAAATCTTCCATAGGGTGAATGACTGGAAATCTCCCTTAGGGGAAAAGGGAGGTCCTGCCAGAAGCAGGTTCATTTTGGTGCTTAAGGTTTGATCACTGCAAAGCTATGCCAGTCACTGATAGTTTCCCCATATTCCCCTGAGTACATTTGTCTGCACTACACTTGAAGAGCAGGCAAGAGGGTAGGAAGACCAACGACCTCGGGTACAGAACACCCATGGCTCCACCTCCTCCCTGTACCTAGCTTTCCAGCTGTGCCCAGCTGTCACTGTGGAACAGTTTAAAAAGCCATGACTGCCTTCCCTCCTGCTGTCAGCTTTGGCTTTACTGCAGACACTGACTGGGATCGAAACCTTTAAAAACCCAAGATCTGTATGTGGAAAGATTGATTTAAAATATGGCTCCTTTTCCTCTGGCTCTAAGAATAGAAGGACAGTTTTGTTTTTTCTATCTTTTATTACTTGTTGCTTTTGGGATAGATACAAAAAAAATCACTCTCTTGTACCACACACAAAAAACCCAGCCATTCTTGTGATTTTTAAAGTGCATTTCCCCTTTAACTTTGTTTATAAAAATATTTATTTTTAAAAAACATGCAGAAATTTCTTGACAAGGCACTTTTAGGCATAAAATGAAGATGAGTCCCCAATTCTACATTCACATTGAGGTAAAAATGAAACATCATCACAGCTGCATTCCTCAAGGCCCCACACACCCAGCTATCTCTCCGAACCGATCAACACAACTGTAAAAACATTCACAACTTTGCAACTTACAACCATGCCCAGTATAAACTGCTTGTCCCTGATGTGTTGTCCCACTTCAGGAAAGTAAGATAAGCTGCCAAACAGTCTTCGGGTAACCCTGTGAGATCCCATGATAGGTAAGATCCCATTGTATCTGTAACTTCTTACCTCCAATTTCAGTAATCTTGTAGGGAGAGACAATTAGCTACAGCCCCCGCCCCCAGCAAAGAGCCACTGGGCCTGCATCCAGTGGAGGAATTTAAAAAGACAACCAAGGTTTACAATCACTGTCCTTTGGAAGAGAAGACCCACAAGATGGGTACCTCTGAAAAAGGGAGCACATAAAATCCATTCGTATCCAAATGACCACAAGTTATATTTGTTTTTAAAAAGCAAATGATATGTAAAGATCAAACACTACAAAGCAGTTCAAAACTTACATCTTTAAAAAAATATCATTTTTATCACCATTAAAATTAAATCTTAGAGATAAATTTCATCGACTCAGCTTAATTTCTGGAGAATTACATAGTGCCATTATTTCTCATTAGATCTCCTATAACAAGAATAGCTTTTTAAAAGCCTACCCTCATACTTCCAAGAAACATCTTTCAAGAAACATTGAAAGCTTATTTATTACATATTTTATATAGTTCAGCTTATTTATTGCACCCAATTTGCAAAAGTGCCCCAGGACATTTTGGGAAATAAATATGAAACAAAAGCAGAGTTGCTTCCCCACTCTCAAACCACAGCATTACTGCACAGTGACAGGAAGTTGGGACTTTTGGGCAAGTGAAAAGGACGTGAAGACTGGGGATTATCGTCATAACCAGGAGTGATGTGAAGTCAAAGGTACAGGTCAGGCTGCGGTCAGGACTCTAATTAGGGAGCCTGGCAGCCTCTGAAGTGTGGAGGCCTAGACAGACAGTGAACTAGGAACAAAGAAGAGGAGTCTATCAATGTGTCTCTCGAGGTCATCTGAGAGAATCACAGGCAGACTGGGCTGAACGGAGAAGGGGTGTCAGGGGCAGGGATAAACAGCAGAAAGGCAAGGTCTTTAGATCGCCAACAAGGGACAGTCTTCATCACTGAAGTCAGGCAAGTAGGTCCTTTCAAGGGTAAGCAGGATCTCTGCATGCAGGTGAGGACTTGCCTTCTGAATATGAGGGGCAGGGTGCTTACCCCAGGTGTGTTAGCTGGGGGTTTGCAACCAGTGCCCCCGGCAAAAAGGGTGGGGTGAGTTAGGAGAAGGAAGGGGGGAGGGCTCATGGTTGCTTTAGGAGAGATACTTATCACTGAATTACCATATTTCAAATTTTGACAGGGGAATGTCTCAGGATCATTCTTACACAAAACCAAAAGACTTTATTTTCAAGTCACTTGAGGACCTCTTCTTTGGAACACAGAAACATCCTTACTCTGGCAACTTGTAAATAACAGCACACCTTGTTCCTTTCTTTCACTGGAAGGGGGGCACTTCTTAACCCAAATAAAACTCATAACCTGTATGAGATCAATTTTGCCTCCATTTGATTTGGATTTATGTTATTAATAGTTATCTAACATTTAAAGTATCATCTGTGTACCTGGTGCTTGGATAAAACAGTCTTGCCCAATTTCAGCATAAAATACAAATGTGAATTCCCCATAAATTACATTATCATGTAATCCCAAAGTGCTACCCACTTGAGGTACAGAAAATAAAGCCCTAGATTGTGGACTAGTAACAGCCAGTTTTAGGAACGAAAATTACATCAAATACCACTTAGCATTTAAACAGTTAAAACTGAAAATATTCAAAATGAAAATAAAAGTTCAAAAATGAAAATGAAAAGAAAAATAATCCCCAGCTACCAAAGTCCAGGAGCCAAGGCACTCGATATCTGTCCGACACTGATGTCCAAAGCCACAGAAAGCAGATCTCTTGAATTAATCTGGAAAATTCAAGCACAAGACTCTGCTTGACAAGTCCAGCAGCTGTGCCTCCAAATTCAGGCAATGATGCATTCCTTCTCGCGCATGCCTAAGAAAACCTCACTTTTAGTAAGATCAGGCAAATACAGCCTTAAATAGTTCAACTAAACTCCAAAAACAAACAAGAAAAAAATCAAAATTTCTATGAATACACATGTAAAAATATTTTTCAAATACCCCTAAGTAAAAACCAATCTTGCTCAAGAAAAATCACAGGTTTGGAGGATCCATACAGGAGTCTCACAACAGTATTCTATTTTAGTCCAATATGGTTAAGAACAATTAACCACTGATATTTCAGAGTTGGCAAATATTTAAACACAAGAGAATGTGATGAGGGTCAGCTCCCCATCCTTTTACATACTAGCACACCATAAATAAGAACACCCAAGTAATGTCCCTGGGTGCTTGTAAAGTGTCCTGCATACTGCAGGCAAAATAAAACCAGACATGTTTTGAGGGCTTCATGAATCTGCTGGATCTGCAAATCAAATGTCCTAAACACAGAATCAAGATGACTTTCTGGGAAGAATGATCTATAATTCTTTGCTAAAGAATGAGGCTTGTGAACCAGCCAAGGAGGTGAAAACAAATTATGTCATTGAGCCTTCTAGTGATTCTGGTGATGGTGAGTTCTTAGAATACACTTCCAAAAAGGCAAGAGGTAAAGCTAAAAGAGTCCTCTACGCCGACTGCCCTGCCTCAACATGGCCCTGCAATCTGTGACCCCATACAGGATTTTCCATCAGCAGCCTGTGGGATCAGGAAGAGGGAGAGGAAATGCCTCTCTCAGTCACAGGCTATTTATTTGCCTTTATTGTCTTCTTCTGAACATCGAATGTGAAAAAAATGAATGGCAAAAAACAAAAATAAAAACAAAAACAAAACTTGCAGAGAAAGGAGCTGATTGTGTCTGTCCCCTGTAGCTGGGTCAGAAAGGGATCACAGCAATGGTCACATCACAGTACAGAGTTAAAGGTGGCCTGAGTAGCAGGAAAGGCCTGGGTAGTGGAGACCACCAAAGGTGGATGGATGAAGGGGTCCTAGGGGGCTGCAGAGGACTGAGCGGCATTCAGGTAATTGACTTTGTGCATCTGAATCTGAATGCAGGCTCCTCTGGGCTTGCCGGCACTGCCCACAGGCTTGGTTCCTTTCCACACCCTTCATGGCACCATCCTGTTCATTCTTGTGGCAGCTCCAGATGTCACAAGGGACCAGCGTGTCACCTCTGAGTGAGAAACCAGTTCTGTGAGCTAAACCTGGCTGGATTTGCTGGTTTCAGAAAAAAGTGAACAGGATCCTTTCTTTTCACAAACAGTGCCTAACGGCAGTTCAGCTTTGCTCTTCTCTTGGCTTCTCCAACCCAGAGTGACCAGAGCCACAACCTGTCAACTGCAGTCACTAATAATAAGGTCCTAGCTTTTCATATCCTAAGTAACTTGGCCACTCTGGAAACAGACCATAGGAACACCGAGGGCTTCCAAACTGGTCAAAGGATATTCCAAAATCTGGTCCATTTTGTGGCTCGACCTGAGTGGACTTTAATTCGGCCTGGATGATCCGGTAGTTTTTGCCTTTGTTGCTGTCCCAGTATGTCTGGCCATTGCACTCATAGCACACAGCAAACTCCATCTTTTCATAAGACTGGATCTTTTCAGGTAAGCTAATGTCAAAGGAGAATGTGTCCCTGTCTGAACCTGCATAAGTGTCCTTCACGTACCAGCAAGGAAAGTCTGTGAAGCTCTTCCAAGTGTCAAATGTCATTCTGATTTTCACGATCTTCTCAAATGCGAGGTTCTGAACCTTCACGGTGCCTGTGATGGCTTTGTCCTTTAGCACACAGTTTTCAAGGCAGACATGGTTGGCCTGAAGTCGATTTCTAAAGTCTAAGTAATCTGTGGAGGGTTGTGAAAAGTCCAAGACAAAGCTCTCGCTCTCTGCTGTCGTCAGACTCACAATGTTGTCTAGGAGCTCGGTGATGTTAAACGGAATATCTAATGGGTCATCAAATTCTGAGAACACTTTGACCATTGTCAGGGCCAGCCCTTGGTTGTCTGCGAAGGACACCCGCTTTTTCACCTTTTTCTCCTGGACCGCGGGGGCCACCATCCCACTGGTTTCATTCTTGCTGCCCAGCTGAATGCAAGGCCTCAGTGGCTTGCTTGGCTTTGGTGAGGCCTTGAAGGTGAACCGCTCTCGGCGCAAGGAGGGGGCCATGCAGTTGTATCTGTACTCAATGTCTACTGCCATCGCGGAGTGGGAGGAATAGGCCAGCACCCTGGTAGAAGGGAAAAAGACAGAAAATGGGAAGAAGATCAGATAGATGTTTAAATGCCTCATTCCAGCAGAGACGGCTGAACAATATCTCCTTTCACCTGGGCCCACATGGGTCAGTGTTAACTACAGGGTGGTCTCACAGGATGTGGGTTTCAGTGAAGAGGAAGTGTGTGTGTGTGTGTGTGTGTGTGTGTGTGTGTGTGTGTGTTGGAAGAAGAGTGTTGGAAGTTGAAAACACAGGAAAATATGAAACCCACTCATTTTAAAGCTATGTTCATAGGTTTTTCTGTCAGGATGTCTTGAGCCCTTCAGTATGCTAATGACTACTGTGACTAAAGAAAAAGCCACACTGTTTGCAGAATCTGTCAGACTCATTTGACTAAAGAGCCCCTTTTTGGGTAGGGTATATTCCACAGCTGTCCAGAGGAGCATAGTTTGGTAAAGACTATTTTGATTTATTAATTAGCAAGCAGTATTGTATATATTTATGATATATAATACAGTGTAGTGGCAAATAAACTATTAACATATGCATTATCTCACATATCATTGTGTGTGTGTTGATAACACTTAAAATATACCCTCTTGGCAATTTTCAAGTACAGTATATGTTTTTATTAACTCTAGTCACTCTGATATACAGTAGCTCTCTTGAATTTACTACTCCTATTGAAACAAGATTTTGTGTCCTTTGGTTAAGATTTCCCCAGTTCCCTCAATGGCCAGGCCCTGGTAAATAGCATTCTACTCTATTTCTGTTTTAGATTCCACATGTAAGTGAGAACATGTGGTATTTATCTTTCTGTGCCTGGCTTTTTGCATTTTATGCCCTCCAGGCTCATCCACCTTGCTTCAAATGAAAGGATTTCATTCTTTTTGTTTGTTTGTTTGTTTTGGTATGGGGGATTGAACTCAGGACCTTGTGCTTGTGAGACAGGTGGCAGCACGATTGAGCTAAATCCCTAGCAGGATTTCATTCTTTTTTATTCATATATATATATATATATATATATATTCCACCATATATGTATATATATGGTATATAAATATGGTATATAAATATGGTATATATATGGTATATAAATATATATTTTTTATTCTGCCATATATATATATTCCACTATATATATATATATATATATATATGGCTTGATTCCATACCTTGGCTATTATGAAGGTGTGGTATGTCTCTTCAACATATTTATTTCATCTCCTTTGAATCTACCCCCTGTAATGGGAATGCTGGGCCATCTGGTAATTTTAGGTTTTGAGGAGACCCCATGCTGTTTTCTGTAATGGCTGTACTGACATCCCACCAACTGTACAGGGTGCCCTCTTCTCCACATCATCTTCGACTCTGTTATCTTTCATCTTTTTGATAGCAACCATTCTAAGAGATGTGAGGTAGCATCTCATTGTAGTTTTAAGAATCAATAATGGTTTTTATTTAATAAAAAGAAATGGATTCCTCATACAAATATTGATTTGGTGTTACTGTATGTCAAGCATTATGCTACACACTGGGATTGAATTGTGAAGACACACAAATTTCTTTTCATGAAAGTAATGGTAGGCTTTTATATTACAACATACTTAAAAAAAAAGAATGAGCAATTTAATATTTTTAAACTTTTCATATAGGTGAACTTTCACCTTTTATATAGGTGAAAATAGCTGCTATGAGAACAAAAAGCAAAGAGAATCATGCTAAAAGAGATTAAATCTGACTTCATAAAATTTCATTTTTCTATAATTAACAAACATCCATAAAATCCAAAAGATTAAATATAAACTGGAAAAATATTTTACAAAAAGCATGGCAGCAGAGTTAGTACCTTAATATACAAAAAGCTCTTACAAAGCAATGACAAAATCAAATACTCCACATAGAAAAATGAGCAAAAGTATGAATAAAAAATTCTTGGAAGAAATTTAAAAGTGGCCCACAAATATGCAATGTCTAACCTTAAAATTAGAAATTTAGATTAGAAAAGATGCCCATTTCTAACAATTGAATTTGGAAAGAACTTTAAAAGATAGCAAAAATGTTATTATTCTTAATTGATACAACCTTTTAAAATGTTATTGTTTTTGTTCCAGTATCACATACAAGTATTCATCTTAAGTAAATAGTTAAAAATGAGTGGCAGTAGGGCCGGGGATTTAGCTCAGTGGTTCCTCTGCCTGCTTTGTAAGTGCAAGGTCCAGGGTTCTATTCCCAGTACCCGCTCCCCCCAAAAAAGAGTGGAAGTAAATGTACTAAAATGTTCAGTGCAACATTATGGGGAAGAAAGAATGATAAAAAGAGTGAGCACTAACAGGTACTTAGTTAAATCAGCTGTGCTGCATCTATGCTATTTAATTTTATACCATCACTGAACTCATTTATAGAGATGATTTAAATGGTATGGGAAATATTATAATATATTGTTAATGTGAAAATCAGAGAAGATAAAGTTGTACATGAAGACCAGACATGCAGGGAGAAAATGTTACATAGGTATATGCAAAAACAATCAGCAATACAGTGTTCCCTTATTCTGTGCTTTTGCATTCCATGGTTTCAGTTCCCTGTGCTCAGCTATGGTACAAAAATATTACATGGACAACTCCAGAAGTAAACAATTCACATATTTTTAATTGTGTGCCATTGTGAATAGTGTGAAGAAATCTGTAGCATCCTGCTTAGTCCCATTTCTTCCTGGGACGTGAGCAAGCTTTGGTCCTGTGTGTCCACCATATATAAATACTATCTGCCCTTTAGTGACTTAGTCACCTTCCAGGGTATCAGCTAGACTGTTGCAGTGTCACAGTGCTTGTGTTCAATTTACATGTATTTTACTTAATGGTGGCCCCAAAGCACTAGAGTAGTGATGCAAACGGGGCACCTGGGCGTCTAACATGGAAGGGCATGTTAACTCTGGTCCTTTGCAGTCGTGCTATAGGACATAGAGGAAAAACACGGCACATGTAGAGGCCAGTTTTGGAATGTGTTCCCTGTGGAGGAGGAGGCACTAAGTATACTTAAAATTGTCAGAATATTCAGGTGACAGGATTTCAGAAAAGCTTTTTTTCTCTGTATTTTCTTATATCTTCTAAAATAATATTGTTTCTACAATCAGAAAAAAACCTTAAAAAAAGAAATTGCAAATATTTTAGTTTGCCAAATCTCATCCTGACACTATTACTTCACTAAACTTATAATTCTGATTATACATAGCAGATTTATATTCTGATTCAACAGTCACAGTGGGCTAAATTAAAGATGTCAGTAACAAAACCAGGATTACAATGTCAAATCTGAGAGTTACAGAATGCAGGAGCTGCATTAATTCCCCCACATACATCTCTTTCTTATGGCAAAGGCATAGTAGGTAGTGGTATGTGGGATACCTGTCCTCAGGTGTCCACCACTGCCCATGAAACATGACAGGCAAAATGGAGAATGGTCCCCAGCTCTCTTGACAAGAAGTGGGGTACAACTGGTTTGGCTCAATAAATAACATCTTATTTTCACCTTCTGATTTGAATTAGCACAAACACCCAATGAAAAAGAAAAAGGACAAAGACATATCAGGAGTGATTCCATTTTTTGAAAAGTATAGCACTTTCCTAGGCTGCGAGAACAGCACTTAGCCATGACCAACTGGAGAAACACAAATTCAGAGACAAAACAGAATAATTTATGACCATAATGCAGGTATGAAACATTCATTTTAAAGGATATTTGTCTTACTGTTTCCTCTGTAACCAGTCAATTTTGGGAGGAGAAATTTGCCTGCTATTTTTTTTTTTTTTTTTTTTTTTGAGACAGGGGTTTGCTATGCAGTTCAGGCTGGCCTTGAACACACTATTTGGCCCTGGCAGGCCTCAAACTCATTGCGATCCTCCAGCCTCAGCCTCCTAAATTCTGGGATCACAGGCATGTGCCACCATGCCTGGCTATTATCTGTTCTTATATCCATGCAATTTTTCTGGAAAGGAAAGTTCTTACTAAATTGGGGCAAGGTGTCTTTACAGAGAATCAATGGGGTGACTAGTATGTTAAAAAAGAAAAAGACCCTATTCTTATAAATTACTTGAATTTTAGTTTTTCCCCTGGATTCTAAAATTTTTACGTTAGAATATATTGGAAATACATCTTCAGCTCTAACTTTATCTATTTTTTTACTTTTTTTATTTATGGACAGGGTCTCACTATTGCAGGCTGGCCTTGAACCTGCAGCAGTCCTCCTGCCTTAGCCTCCTGGGTGCTGAAATTACAGATATGCGCCACCATGCCTAGCTTTACCTCTAATATAACACAGGCATTTCCTGTTTTGCTTTCAAATATGCATTAAAACCAGATAATTAACCACACAACAGCCACACCTTGCATCCCATTGAAGCATCCCACTTAGCCCACCCATGAAGTCCTGGGTGTGGACAGGGGAGCCTTCCCCAGGTAGTCTCTTCCTCCTGGTGTCAGTCAGCACAGGGTCAACTGCAAGTTCTCTCTGGGCTTCCAATAAACCAACCTCAGCTGTGCCTTCCTGCACACCTTTGAAGACATTCATTAGAAAAAGATGGAGAAACTCTCAAGATACTATGAAAACAGAACTGCAAAGTAAAGGAATCCAGACTGAACACTTCCAGCTCACTAACAGGTCTCCCAAGTGCCGAGGGCACGTGGCGCACACTCCAGAAACTGGGAGACCTTGGTCAGGTTGTACTGTTGGGGCCTAGTGGTGTACACTTGCTCCCAGGATCCCTCTTATCACCAAGCTGTAAGAACAAGCAGGACTGGAGGTGGGGAGGATAGACTGGTCAGAGCCAGAGCTGACTAAACATTCCACTGGCATTTTCAAGAGCCAAACTGTTCTTGCAAGATTCTTCCATGAAAGGCAAAAGTAAGGCTTTGATGGCCCAAAAGTCACCACTGGCAGGACTACTGCTCAGGGAATTGCACAAGCAACCCTGGCCTGGAGTCTCTTTGCTTTTTCAGTGTGTCACCACGACTGCAGGTGAGACACCCCCCCCCCCCCCGCCATGGTCTTCAGTCCTCTGCCTTGCCTGACCTTGCGGTGGTTTCTGGCTTTCACTGACCTATCCTGCAAGAATGGGTGCAAGAAAGGTTCTGGTTTGGGGTAGGGTTTTCTGACCATTCTGCCCAGGAAGTCCCCAGTAGATTATGCAGGGATGGCAGCCACCCAGAATTACGAACAACTGAAATGTCCAAAGTAATACTTTCTTAAGTCTCTGAAAGGAAGACACCTGGACAGGTGCTTCATGTGCAAATGGCATGAAAATGATCAGTTGCCAGGCAGGATGTTCCAGGATGTACCTCAGGCCTCCTTTCCTGCAGACTCTCTGGCTGCTCCAGGCAGGGCCCTTTCCTAGGGTAAAAACCAGAACCAGAATATGGACACATACTGGAATCGGCAAAGCATGACATGGGATCCCGACACCAGTTGCAGCGCTGGAACACTGGAGCTGAAGTATTTGCTCCCCAGGCCAATAGGGATCTCATGCACTTTGTGTCTATACTGAAGCCTCAGAGGTCCACTGTGCTGGCTGAGGGACTGGGCTGGGCTGAGAGAAAGGTCAGTGTTCCTGGCCCACACTGCACAAACTCTGTCATTCCTAAAAGCCAGAGAGCACAAGGATGGTTTTACAGAAATGCCCTTTCTGTTCCACTAGCAACAACACACTTCCTCAAGACAGCTAGTTAGTCTTAGACCTCATGGTGGGTTTTTTTATGAAAATACCAGACCTGTTCAGAAAATAATCCCATGACCTTTCCAGTTTAAGGCACCTGAGCCAATGACTTTTGTCTGTCCTTTTATAGAACCCAAATCTTTTGTTTGTTTGTTTGTTTGTATTGGGGCCAAGGACTTCTCCTCCATTCTTCTGATAAGACAGGAAAATCAGATGTACAAACAACCTGCCAGCAACACTGAAAACCACCACAGTATATTGGAAAAATGTTCATAACCAGTTTATAAGACATGGCCATCAACTCCCCTGTAGCAATTCTTTATTCCCTCACCAAAGGTTCTGCTGATACATTATAAAGTTGACATCTTTTCCTGTTTGTACTCAGACTGTGGGAACTTTATTTACAGCCTTAAAAGTTATTTGTACCCTTCAATCCTGTCATCAGCATCCAAAGCATCTTGGAGATAAATATTTGTGAATAAGTTTAAGTGGTACAGCCCCTTGCCATCTGAACTGTCCCAGGGTAAACAGAGGCCTAGCCTAAGAACAATACCTCCACCGAGCTCTGCTCCTGGGCTCAAGTTCTCCCCGCTCCAGGATTCTTCCCGAGGTTCCTGCAAGCTCTGTAACTCTGTGTTCATAACAATACTTCATGGTTCTCTCTGCACTCATTTTTCCTAAATATCTCAACTACTTTTGTGGTGAGTCCTCGAGCTGCCTTCACTTTAGCCTTGGCTCCTGAACAACTCTGCCAAGGGAACCATTTCCTCTCCTCTTCCCCCAGCCCGAAGCCCTGAGTTCCTTCTCAGACCAGAGTCTCTGGCCACCCACCCAGCCCACAGGCTCCGCCAACTTCCAGCAACTCTCCAGTTCCCACTTTGTCCTCTTCTTCAGGCAACAATACCCTTCCAGGCCCAAATCTTCTCCTGTTTCATTCTGGGATCTCACCCCCTCTTTTAAGCTACTGTCCCGTCCACACCCCTTTCTCCGAGTTCCAAAGAGCGTCTGGGGCAGGCGGGTGCACCCAGGCTGGGGATCCCACCCGTCCGTCCCCTCGTCCCCTCGACCCTGCCCCGGTCCCTCTAGCCGGCAGGGCCGCACCGCCCCTTCTTCCCCGGAGCCGCCCGCGCCCTGCGCCAGACCCACCTCTCGGGCCGCGGAGAAGCCCCCGCCCCGGCTCGCTTGCCTCATCGGAGAGCCGCTGCCACCCGACTACGTGAGCTTCAGTGTGTCCCGAGTCCGGGAGGCGGGACGTGGGGAAGGTTCCCGGGGCGAAAAGGAGGAGCCCAAGTTATCGCCTCAGGAGGGAGAGGGGGCGGGGCGGGGCGGGGCGGGGGGGGGCGCGTGGGGGGAGAGGGAGACTAGTGGGGGGGGGGCGGGGCGGGGGAGCTGGGGATCCGAGCTCAGTGGCGCGGCTCGAGCACCCCCGCGCGGGCCACCGCCCCCAAGTCCCCTAGCCCTCGCCCGAGTGACTACCAAGCGTGTGATTAAAAGGTGATCTGAACCAGACTGGAAAGGAGTTGGGACAAGCAAGCAAATACAACTTCATAGCAATAGGGTTTGGAATCTCTCTCCCCTTCCCTCCCTCCTTCCCTTCTCTCTCTCTCTCTCTCTCTCTCTCTCTCTCT